ATTGGAGAAAAAGAGGAAAATTGGAGAAAAAGAGGAAAATTGGAGAATCAGCATCGATCTTTACCTACACTAATATGTACTCCAATGTAGTATTTTGAAAAATTAATGAGAAACTCACCTTGACCAGATTCAGGATAATAACGGGGGAGCCAAACCTTTGGAACATTTGGTCAAAGTGAAGAGCTGCCACGTGAGCAAATGGGTCTGCCTGGTCCACTACAAGGAAACAGAATAAAATGCATTTCACCAAAAGAAATTTGAATTAAGGTAATCATCTCTAAGAACTTTCTTAGATACATGAGTGAGTCAATGCTAAGATAATCTTCTGGATAAGGAGGTAGACTAGTAAAAATAATATGATAAACAATCATTTGATTAGATAAACGAATAGGCGGCCAGGTAAGAGCTTAAATTCAAAGGTAATTTTAATATTGACAATCTTTCTTCATTCAGCTTACACCAAAAAAAAAAGAATGCTGAAGCTGGCAGAGGATTCATGAAGCTTTATAAGGCAAGGTAAGATCTAGAAGTTTGAAAAAGTACACTCGATGGCTAAATGGTCTACTTCTGCTCCTATGTCTTATGATCTTACAAATTCAATTATATATGCATATCAGTAAAAGACCACGTTATCCCAATAGCTGCTTTTTGGATAGGACTGAGATTGTAACGAAAATGTGCATCTTGCACAAATATCATGAGTTCTGCAGCTTAGTAAACTGCAAATTTGTGTTTCAGGTATTGGTCCTTTTTTAAATGGTTTATATCAATTGACTTGTAATTTTTCGAAAGATGCTGCATGACCTGCTAAGCCTCTCCAGTGTTTTCTGTTCTTAGTTCAGATTTTCATCATCTGTAGAACTTTGTTTATTGACTTTTTAAGTTCATTGTGCTGGAAATAAGGTGGTTTATTTAGCATTAATTATGCTGAAGTAGAAGCTGTCTTGTAAAGCACTACAGCAAACTAATTGCCAGAATTCTTTTTAAAAATTTAGTCATGGGACGTGGGCATAACTGGCTAGACCACCATTTATCACCCCGTTCTAATTATACTGTAGAAGATGGCTGTCTCTTGAACCATTGTAGTCCTTGGGATATAGGAAATGCACTGGTTAAAAAGGGAGCTCCAAGATTCTGACCCACAACAGTGGAGAAATGTGAAAAAGCTGATGTTGTACCTGCGTGGAACGACATGACTTCTTTCAAAATCCCACAGTTCATAGGACTTTTCCTGAACCCTAAAATCCAGGTGTTTACATCAACTCTTGGAACCTCTTCCTGAGTTCTGAATGCACAGAGCCCTTGGCCCTCAGTTGTCTCCACAGCTTTACAGCTTTCAGAGCCTGCCTTGAAGCCTGATTCAGTTTCTATCTTTACTTCCAACTGACTGTGACCCAGGAACTGTTCTTCAGTAACCCCTGAAGTGTTTTGAGTTACACACTGAAAACCCTGCATCAAACCCTCCCATTGTGGCAAATTTAAATATAACTAATAATTTGGAAGAGTCAATTGTAGCAACCTCCCACAGCTGTCTGTTCCCTAAATGTTACAATGTTTGTGTCACACAGCACAAATTGCACATAGAAAAAGATGTACGTACAAAAGTCACCCTGTGTGTGGACCATAAGACTCTCGACTTAAATCAGGTGGAACGCAAACTCATATTCTTGAATTTTCAACATAACAAAATATATGGTAACACAACCAGCACAGAAATTACAACTGTTTACAAGGTTCACGAATGGTGCAATTAGAGGTAGGCAATAAATACATTTAGTCAGCATCCCTCATGTCTGAGCACAAATTTATAATGATAAAAGCTGAAAAGTTTGGTTTAGCTAAGTGAGACATTTACCAAATTATTCGATACCTACATGTAATAGGTGGTTTAGGCATCATTGTGGAAATGTCCTGAGACCAGTACAGTGGAACAGAACCTCGAACCTGTACATAGGAAGAGTAACTTCCAGCAGAAAAGGACATCACAGAAGCATCGTGAATTATCTGTTCAGTCTCCACTTCATTTGCCACATCTCCCTGGGAAAGGGAAAAATATCAACAAGGTTTTACGTCATTAATACAACTTTAAATATTTTATTTATTCATGGGATATGGGTAACACTTTAGTTTGAACAAGGTTTCTGCAATTTGCATTGATATACCTGACAATTTGCACCCCTTTTTAGGAAACGTGTTCCAGCAAATCTGCAGGATCTTCTGGCTATCAAAGTAACATAAACTGGTCTGCCATAGATCAGCATTTCTGACAGTGAAGTTAAAGAAAGCTGAGGAGAAACTATCTTCGTATGATTTACTTCACATGAACTATATAATGAAATACAGGTCAAAATTGCCTAGCTAATAATAATTGTGATCTAAGTGGTGATTTTGTAAACATTACGGAATAGAATCAGCTAATTTTGGAAAGCAATAATGCACTTCACAAACAGGGATGTGGAGAACGACTCTCAAAATTTTAAGTGACCTGAAATACGGTACAGGTATATAATTTTGTTTTGGTGAGGATTTTGGAAGTGTTTTCACTTTTCATTTTGAGTTTCATCATCCAACAAATATCAGAGGTAAAACGGAGACAAGAGCAATACAAATCAGAGAATCAACATGGTTTTGTGAAAAGGAAATTGTATTTGACTAATTTATTAGAGTTCTCTGAAAAATGAACAAACAAGGTGAGTAAAGGCAAACATGTAGATGTGGTGTACCTCAATTTTCATAAGGTCCACATCAAAGGCTACAACATAACAGCTTATGGATGGATACAAGATCTGTTAGCCATAAGGAAACAGTGAATCGGGATAAATGGGTTATTTTCAGGTGGGGAGCTTGGATCAGTGCTTGGGGCCTCAATAATCTAGATCAACAACTTTGATGATGGAATCTAATGTATGGAGCTAAATTTACTGATGACACAAACAGGATAGAAGGATGATAAGTAAATAAATAGGATAGAAAGTTGTCAAGAGGTCATAAGGAGTCTAAACAGATTTATTTAGTGAATCAGCAAAAAAAATTAGCAGAGGAAGTATATGTGAAAAAATGTGAAGCTGGTCATGTTGGTAAGAAAACTAGAAAAACAGTATTTTTTTTTTTAATAGAATCCCTACAGTGTGGAAACAGCCCCTTTGGCCCAACAAGTCCACGCCGACCCTCAGAGCATCCACTCAACCCATGCCCCTATAACCTACCTAATGTACAAATCCCTGAACACTACGGGCAATTTAGCATGACCAATCCACCTACCCATCTTTGGACTGTGGGAGGAAACCGGAGCATCCGGAGGAAACTCATGCAGACATGGGGAGAATGGGCAAACTCCACACAGACAGTCACCAGAGGGTGGAACTGAACTCGGGTCTCTGGCGCTGTGAGGCAACAGTGCTAACCACTGTGCCATCCACTTGAATGGAGGGAGATTGCAAAACTCTGTAATTTAGAGATCTGCGTGCCTTGGTACTCAAAATAAGATAATTATATGCAAACGTAGCAAGGGATTAGGAAGGCAAGCGGGATATTAAAATGTATTGGAAGGATGATTGAGTGTAAGAGTATGGAAGTGTTGCTGCAGTTGTACAAGACTTTAGACACCATCTGAAGTACAATTTTGGTCTCCTTACCCAAGGAGGAATATAACTCTTTTAAAAGCAACTCAGAGAAGATTCACTCAACTCATTCCTGGGATGAAAGGGTTATCTTATGAGGAAGATTTGAGCAGGTTGAGCCAGAATCCACTGGGACTTAGAAGAATGAGAAGGTGATCTTATTTGAACATAGTTGATCCTGTGGGAACGTGACAGTTTTAGTGTCAGAAGTTTTCCATTCTGGGAGAGTCACAAACTAGAGGAGACAGTTCAAAAATTAGGATCTCCCATTTAAGATGGAGCTAACAGGAAATTTTCTCTCTCTTTCAGTCATTTGTGTGGGGATTTCTCGTCCCCATTATCCACAACACGTTACTGCCTCAAAGAACCCCAAAATAATGGTTAAACATGACTTCTCTTTCACAAATACATGTTGACTATGCAAAATTATCTTAAAGATATCTAAGGGTTCTACTTTGATTTCTTAAATCATAGCTTTTTACTCCTAGCCTTTTCCTTATGATGTTAAGCTAATTGGCCTGTGGTTGCCTGCTTTCTGTCTTCCTCCATATTGAACAAAGGTGTACTATCTTCCAATCTATTCGATTGTCCTTGAATCTGGGGAGTTTGGGAAAATTAAAACTAATATATCGACTATCTCACTTTCCTTTTAATATCCTAGAACGAATAAGGATTGACGAAATTGTCAGCCCAGACCTCCCAACAATTTAAAAACTGAAAGAACTGTAGATTCTGCAAATCAGAGACAAAATTAGAAATTCTGGAAAAGCTCAGCAGGTCTGGTGGCATCTACGGAGAGAAATCAGAGTTAACGTTTCGGGTTGAGTGACCCTTCCTCAGAAATGATGGCAGCTTGGAAATTGTTGGTTTTAATGCAGAAGATGGGGTGGAGAGAGGGGGTAAGGAGAAATTGATAGGTGGGGATGCAGCCCAAAGAGAGAGAAGAACAGTTGGACAGACAAAAAAAGAGTGGATAATGATCTGGCTAGTTGGGTGAATAGCCATTAACGGGGACGTTAGTAGAATCGAGTACAACAGTCAGGATGTCACTTTGCAGCTTTATAAGACTTTGGTTAGGATGCACTTAGAGCACTGCATTCAATTCTGGTTGCCTCATTACAGGAAGGATGTAGAGGCTTTGGAGACAGTGCAGAAGAAGTTTATCAGGATGCTGCCTGGATTGGAGGGTATGAGCTATAAGAAGAGGCTAGAAAAGCTCAGGTTGTTTTCTCTTGAATAGCGACAGCTGAGGGGAGACTAGAGAGAAGTCGATAAAGTTATGATGTGGAGGTGCCAGTGTTGGACTGGGATAGACAAGGTCAGAAATTAGACAACACCAGGTTATAGTCCAACAGGTTTATTTGAAATCACAAGCTTTTGGAGCATTACCCCTTCATCAGGTGAAATGAGAGAGAAGCACACAGGCACAGAATTTATACATAGAGAGATAGTGTGAGTGGGGTGTCGTCAGGCCAAATAATAGATCTCTGCTGGTGATCAAGAGTGTTGGACAGTGTGAGTAAAGTGGCAACTGCTAAATAACAAATGAAGGGATGACCAATAATCTGATTAAAGGAGGCAGAAAGATTAAAAAAAAATTAAAAATAAGATGGTGTTGGAAACAAACCAAATGACTAGAATAACATAATAGGTATAATATTGAGGGTTTAACCAAAGTAACAAGCAATCCAAAATAGTACAAACTAATTAAGGTAGAGAGATCATAACAATTTATGAAGGTGATGGTGTCAAAACAGGACAGTAAAGGAAGATTTTACAGATACAGAAGTGTGGTGGGGTCACATGTAGTGCAACATGAACCCAAGATCGCGGTTGAGGCTGATGTTGTCCTGAAGGCTGGGTATTTTGCTGTGAACAATGGTCTGTTTAAGGTTTGGCAGTTGTTTGAAGGCAAGAAGTGAGGGCATAAGGATGACCTTGGTGGGATACTTCATCATTAAATGACATGTTGAAGGCTGTGAAGAACATGGCATAGTTTCTTTGCTCCAGCGAAGTACTGGACAATGAAGGGTACTCTATCAGTCGTGTCCTGTGTCTATCTTTTGAGGAGGTCACTGTGATTTTTCATCGTGGCACATCGGAACTGGTGACTGATGAGCTGAGCATCGTATCCTGATTTTTATGAGGGCATCCTTCAAAATCTTTAGGTGTCCGTTGCGTTCCTCCTTATTGGAGCAGATCCTGTGTACCTGCAGGGCTTGTTCATAGGAAATGGATTCTTTAACATGCTTAGTGTGGAACTCAGGAAGTGCAGCACCCTGAGGTTATCCATGGGCTTGTGGTAGAGTGAGGTACTGAGGTGTCCATCCTTGATGCAGATGCATGTCAAAGAATGAAACTGATTCTGAAGAGTAGTCCATGGTAATTCTGATGGTGGGATGAAACTTGTGGTTATCACTATGCAGTCATTTCAGTGATTCATCGCCATGAGTCCAAAGGAAGAAAACGTTGACGTATCTGATGTATAGCATTGGTTGGATGGTGTTCCCACATAAGAACGGGGTACAATGCAGGCAAGGATGCCTTGAGGTATGGTAAATTGGCGAGATCATGCAGCCACTACGACAATGGATGAATGGACACCGCGCAACAATCGCCAGACAAGAATGTTCCTCCAAGTCGGGGAACATTTCAGCAGTCAAGAACATTCAGCCTCCAATCTTTGGGTAAGTGACCTCCAAGACAGCCTTCAAGATACACCATAATGCAGAACTGGTGAGCAGAAACTAATAGCCAAGTTCTGTACACATGAAGACGGCCTCAACCGTGGTCTTGGGTTCATGACGTTTTACATGTAACCCCACCATACGGTTCTGTATTCATAAAATCTTCCTTACTGTCCTATTTTAACGCCATCACTTTGATAACTTGTTATGATCTTGCTACCTTAATTAGTTTGTATAGTTTTGGAATATTTGTTACTTTGGTTATACCCTCAGCATGTGGCTCTTACACCTATCAACATGTCATTCCAGTGATTTGGTTTGTCTCCAGCACTATCTTATTTTTAATTTTTTGTAATTATCTCTCTGCCTCAATTAATTTTTTATCCTCTTCACTCATTATTCAGCCGTTGTCAGCTGTTGACACTTTACTCATACCATCTGACACTCTTGATCACCTGCAGAGACTTAATATTCAGCCTACTCACACCATTTGTATGATCTTTTGATCTCTCTGCCTATAAATGCTGTGTATGCTTTTCTTCACTTCATCTGACGACGGGGCAGCGCTTTGAAAGCTGGTGATTTCAAATAAACCTATTGGACTATAACCTGGTGTTGTGTGACTTCTGACTGAAGCCAATTTACATAGCATAATAGTCTGTTTTCTATCAGAGTGCACTGTTTTGTAGAACTCTCGTTTCATTAGATCTACAACGTCTGGGGGTTTGAGGCAGTTGTTGAATAGCTCCCAACACTCAGATAACATATTAAATTTTGAAATTTTAGTAAAGGATACTTGATTGACCACAAAATCCATGAATAATATACAGCAACCAGTTCTGGTGGACAGTAGCTTTCACCTTTTCTAAGATGTAACCATTCCAAGCATATTTGAGGTAGGGCTGATTCAGAATGCCATAGTGCCCAGAAGCTGAAAAGGATAAATATTTTGTTGACTTAAACATCATAACATAAATATGAATTATGACCATATCATGCATTAAAATAGTATACGCTACCAACTGATTACCTGTGGCTTTGTTCCTAGACAGTCTGGAATCTGCACAATGGTTTGATGCTTTTTGTGCTTTCACTGATTTGGAAAGCATAGCACAGAAGCAGGTGCAGCAGTGGAGAATTTCCCATAAGAGTGATCTGGTTTTACTTCATAAAACTGGTGAGTTTATTTTGGGTTATAAAGATCAGCTCCAACTTCAGCAATTTCCATTACAAATTTGCACTTGTTTAGTACCTCATTCTATCAGAAACAGCCCAAGATATTTAACATAGTACAAATTACATTGTAGAATAATAGATTTCAGGGTGGATATGACATTTGCTTTTTTACAGCGGGTACCATAAGTTGCAACAGGTTGAATGTAGTTAGTTATTCACGGTTGTACTTGAAGGAGGTACATTGGCTTGAACTGTGGCTGATTAACAACAGGTGGGGTTAACTAAACAATTGAGAAGTACAAAGCCCATAAAAAGGAAACAATGTAGAATACAAGTGCTCCACAAATACATTTACATTAACTGGGTTGAATATACAAGAGTTGGAGAATCTTTGTAGACTAAATACTGAACAAGTAAGGGTAAGCAGGATGAAATTAGACAATACATGAAAGAGACTTCTGGGTAGAGTAATGGATTTTAAGAAAAACACAATAATTTAAGAAACTGTTAGGCGCATAGGCAGACAGTGGTCAGCGAGGTAAAGGAAACTAAAGCTTCCAAGTTTTTCTGAACTCAGTATTTACAAAAGTAGCAAGCAAATGTTCTGTTTCCAGCTCTGTGCCCGCATTGCTCTGTAAGGATTATTTGGAGATGCAACAAAGCAAGGGCTCACTCTTCAGAAACACCTAGCTTCAGTTCAGAGCTGTCCTCAGAAATCCTGACCAAAACAATGAGCTCACTTTATCAATACTTACAAAGCACAAGTTTTCAATTGTTACAACTTTTACAATTCAAATCTTAAAGTAAAAGAACCCTTTTCTTTTTAAGTCTGGAATTTACAAGTTACCTGTAAAACATTTTCAAATTGACATTTTCCATTAAAATTAATTTTAATTTAAAGTTGTCCCACTTGCTGCAAACAGATATGGTAGAGACTCTGTGCATCATTGTGAACATTTTTCAGCTACTCTGAATACAAATGTGCAATTAGTCTGCAAGTGAAATTAGTATAATTCATGACCTATTAACCATTTTCCAATATGGAAAAAAGCAGCCACATAGTAATCACAGGAGGAAAGGAACAGGCAATCATGCATATCTTTCTAACATTCAACTTGTATTATCATTCAAAAAAGACCTGCATCCATCATGTTTAATACCCACCACTTCCAGCTTGTGCAGTGACACCCTCATCCTCAAAGATGTCAAAACTCTCCTGCCGGCCATGTCCAAAGGTTTGACTTTTTAATCCTTCACTGGGCATTTTCAACAATGTTAGATTGAACTGAAGAGAGTGAGTCAAATCATAGCTATAACTATAGAAAAGAAATAAAATAACACAGTTTACTTTCATTCACAAAAAAATGGTTTTTGCAACGTATCAAAAAATATTTTCCATTACTAATGAAAAGCACCAATCTTATTTAATATTCAAATAAATGTGTATCACATGTACCACAGAAATACTTCTATAAAGCCAATGAAAAGTGTGATCAAAGATTTATATTTTTTGGTTGAAAGTATTTAGATTTTAAACGAGTGGCATATGGGTTTGGTCTATTTGTGTGAAGGGAGTTAGTAATTAACTAGGTCAGTCTTTTTAAAACCAGTATGTATCAGAAAACAGAGATAACAAAGTGTAGAGCTGGATGAACACAGCAGGCCAAGCAGCATCATAGGAGAAGGAAGGCTGACGTTTCGGGCCTAGACCCTTCATCAGAAAATCTTCCTGCTCCTATGATGCTGCTTGACCTGCTGTGTTCATCCAGCTCTACACTTTGTTGTCTCAGATTCTCCAGCATCTGCAGTTCCTACTATCTCTATATCAGAAAACAAATGACTGAAAGCCACCTGAAGTGTTATTGGAAGTTTGTTTATATGATGGGCGGGGGTTAAGACATGAGAGAAAAGAAATAATTAAGTCATTGTCTTAGCATAAGCTAGATTGAGCAGGTTTATTTTAAAGAAAAGATGATTAAAAAGCTTTAGTTCGAAAGAGACCTGACAAAAGCTGAGAATACTTTTTCCTAGAAGATTGTTCAGAGCAGTTCAGGGAATAAGTAACTTCTGTGTAAGGGTTTCAGTTTGTGAAATCTCCCGACCAGGAGTGTTGGTTAGAAATCTATATTGAATCTATACTGGTTCTTCAAAGCTGAGAAAGTCTAAGATTTCAATTGTGTCAATCAAAGGAAGAGTTAAGTCTTTTATATAATATACTTCCTTTCTATTGTTAAAACAGAATTGTCAGCCTGTGCATTTATGTTTTAGTGAAAGATCACCATATTACAACTTTTTTTAAAAAAGTCTGTTTTTAAAACCAGGATTTCATTCCGAGATCTGACTTGTCTAGTAGTATAACCAGCTGGGATGAGAATATAGGCAGTTCTCTCGTACAGTTTAAATGTTGGAATGATGGCCATGTGACTCAGCACTTCTTCAATAGAAAATCAATTCCACGTCAGGGTACAAAATATATCTGTTCTATATCGTCTTATATAGTTTTGCAAAGAATGAAATTAATATTTTCATTCATGCAATGAAGACAATTCCATAAGACAGGTAGCTAAAACTTTCTTCCTAACTGTAGTACCCTCCCTCTTTTGAGGCACCCTGGCCTAGTAATACAAAGGAGAGGTCAATTTCATGAGGGATAATTAGCATTACGTATTCAGTACTTCTAGGAGCTAACTCATTTGTCGTGCCATTTGTCTTATTCATTTTTAAAATCTATTTCAATTTTAATAAGGCAGAAAGATTAGAAATTGAGTTTAGCACCATCATTAGTTTGATTCAACTACTTGTCAAAGAATATGTGGAAATAATTGGGTGAGAAAGGCACCACAACTATGTACAACGTAACAATAATAAAGGAGGAGGAAGGAGGAGTGCGGAAGGGGGATGGGGTGGGGGAGGAAGGATGATGATGAGGAAGAGGAAAGGAGGAGGAGGAAGGAGCAACCAGCTGGTCTGAAAATGGAATCAGTGTTGCACTAAAGGGGCCCTGCACATTTATCCAGTACCAAGATAACTGACTTTACAAAAAGAACAATTTCTAGGGAGTCTAAATCTTTCAGGCAATATTTCACTCCTGTAGAACTAGATTAGAGTCAAAAGGCAACCAGTTAATTTATCTGACTCCTGTAGCAACATTCCATCATTCAACACATTCTTCAGTCATTGGAGTCAGTTCCAACTATTCAAAAATGGAAGGTATATATCCAATTCAGACTTACCAGGGTCATTAATCAAAATATACTTACTACCCTATTTGGTATAAAATTAGAAACTTACCATCACATCAAAATTTACAAGGCAAAATACTGTTTATTCACTGGCAAAGGTAGAGGAACAAATGAAAAAGCAAACAGGAAAAGAAATTGCGCACTCACTCAGGAAAAACACATTGAGACAGGGGGAGGAACCAAGGGCATCTCACTGATAAAAATGTTAAGAACCACATAAGCTCAATAGTTAGAGGTTTGAAAACCTATCCCAGGTAACTATTAAGCAAACGCCCAACTCACTGTTTGCTCCTGCTCCACAGCAACTCGGGCCCACAGGATCAGTAACCCCAACCCAAGACCCCTCCCACCCCGATCACCACCACACACATGGCCCAACTTGTCTCAACATCCACAACTGGATTCTGCTCTCCCTGCCCAGACAAAGACCACTCTTCCCACAAATGTCAGCCCGATCCAACAACACCTCCAACACAATCCTACCAGATCATCACCATCAGAACAGACCAGCAGCCTCCCCATCAACAACTGGCACCATATCACACTGATACAACCCCACCAGATCCATCACCAGGTCCCCTGCAACTCTCACCTCCCTGAAGTCGCCTATCTTCTCTAACCCTCCCACCCCAACCCAGGCACCATCAAACTCATCACTCTAGACCCCATCCATTCCCCCCACCACCTCCTAACCCATGGCCCCAAAGCCCCCAACCCAAAACCCTTACCCATCTGGCACCCTACTCTGTTTGCCAACCTAGCCCTGTAACCTACTCAACCAACCTGGTCCCCTAAACTTACCTCAGCCAATCCACCTCCTCACCTACCTTACTCATTTACTGTTTCACTCACTGTTGTTGGAAATTTAAAGTTCAGATTATAGCATTCACTGCTGTACAAAAAATAATGGGCATGGTTTCGATGATAACATTCTCCACTGCTGGATTCGAGGACTCCTACTGTTTCGCAGTAGGAGACCCATGTCCAGGAATCTCCAGCGCAGAAGTTAACAGGCAAATGGGTATTTTTTTAAAAATCCGATTAGAGCCAGAATTGGAATTACTGGGCCTTTATTCCTTTAGGAACAAAAATAATAATATGCAATGTTAGATTTGACAAATAAAAGCAGCATCTTACCTAAAATAAAAGTTGCTGGAAAGATCCACACTCTGGAAAATTTTCATATACCTAGAAAGAAAATGTCTTTAATGTCTCATTTTACTGGTCTTATATTCAAATATTGAGGGATAGTAATGACAAAGAAACAGACTTTTCCTAACAGAGAAGGCACTTCATTTGACCCAAGTCTTCAGTAACATCAAATTTATTTATCGCTTATAGTCATCGTAGTGACAGTCACTGAATAAAAGCTCTAGTAGCTAAAGGAATCAAGGGATATGGAGGACATTCGGATTGGGTTTTGTGCTTGATCAGCTTTGATCACATTGAATGGTGGAGTAGGCTCGAGGGTCAAATAGCTCCTCTTTTTTTTTTTAAATAAGGGGCAAATCCCAGTGGATCGGGAACAAGGTACCTACTTCCAAATAAAGTTGGAGATTCAGCTTAACAGTTACACAAGAAAGACAACAGAACATACAAAAGTAACTAGTTTTAGATAGCTCCACAAAGGCCTGTATCCCTTTGCCAAGTCACATTTTAGTTACGAGTCTGACCCAGCCAGCTCCTAGAGTGAACAGAACCTCTGACACTCTTGTTTATGTGTCAGTCAGGACTTCCTGACTGGATCAGATTAACAGCCCCAATCAAGGAGCTCATTCTATAAAGTCCACCTGGCTGACCTCACTCCAATCACTACATCCCACCTCCTCTAAGTTCTGTAACTTCTCCTGGGGTGTTTTCACACCAGGTTCAGTTCCTTCAACTCCGCCTTGTATACTGGTGGTGCATAAATTGGACTGTGACACAGCTCCTGCACCTGGAGTGTCTCAGAAGAAATTCATCTTCTGCAGGGGTTAACAGCATTGAGGTTGCGATAGCTGCCGTGTCCATTTCGGCCTTAGAGATTTCTTTGGCGCTAGGCAGAGGGGGAGAATCCATGGGTTTTGGCAGCCTTGCCAGATGTTCTGAGGGGCAGGGTATGTTTTGCTCCTGCCCCATTTGCGGGCTTGCAGCTTTCATGTGGTCATGTTTCTTCTACTTGAACTTTATGCGTCATGGGACCGGACCTCACATCAACCATGCCTCTTACACACGCAGGGCCATTCCCACGGTTTTGACACCAAATTTTGTCCCTTGAAGTAAACTACCTCCCTTGATTAGCGGAGTCTTCTGTCTGGCATTGGTATTCCTAATGCTGTTTCACCTGTGCAACCCACCACCACCACGAACTGCAACCCCACTCCCCGGCCCCGCCTCCGAGGTGCAGATACATCAGGGTTAATCTGGTGCGGAGTCTTCTCCCCATTCACAACTCTGTTTCAGCTGTCCCTGTGAGGGTTGCGTGAGGGTAGTCTTACAATCAAACAGGAACTGGGACAGTGAGTGAAGCTGTAAGCTGTTTTTTTAAGCCTGTCTTCAAAGTCTGGACTCTTTCTGGCAGACCACTGAACGGTAGATGGCGTGGAGCTGTACTTACATGCTGAATGCCATTCAACTTTTGGAAATACTCTAATTACCTACTGGTAAATGGTGGCCCATTGTCTGTGATCAATGCCGCTGGAAGTCCATATATTGCAAAAGATGCTTGCAGCTTTTCAATTGCCATCTCCGTGTTTGACGAATAACCTCAATGCACGTCCAACCACTTTGAATGGGCATCCACAATGACTAAGAACATAGAGCCTATGGAACTCTGGGCACTGCCCACCAATGCAGCTCTGTCGGCATCCAATCCTGGCCATCAGACATAACTTCTCCCCAGCATCTTCATTTTGGAAACTCCTGGATGACCCTGGTGAAGTTTAGCCAGTACCTGGCTGCAACCTTTGTTTAGGACATTTACTCCTGCCTTCCCATAATAATATCACTCTACGGTGATCTTGTCTCGCTAGGTCTAGAAAGGGTTCAATTCTGATTGTGGTGGCCTCTTGGTTTCCCCCATAACCAGCAGCTATTTTTAGTTTTGCCAGGACAGGATCTTTTTTGTGTCCACAGTCTGATATTATTAGTGGTGACTGGAAGGGTGTCCAGAAAATTTAAAATCAGAACAGACTCTCCTAGTGGTAGCAACACAGGTGGGGTCTGGAGCACCTTTGATCACCCTCACCATATCTGCCAATGGGTGTAACCCAGTGTTGTTAGCTCTGTAGCCCAAGTCAGTCACTACAGGCATCCGGAACACACACTTTTCTGTCCTAAGGCGTACAACTTCCTTGAAGAAATGTTAAAGCACAATGTCCAAGTTCTCCAAATGCTCTTTATTAGTCTTCCCATGTCATCCAGAAAAAAAGGTGACCTGCACGTTGTAAAATGTTCTTCATTGTCCACTGGAAAATAGCAAAGGCTGATGATACCCCAAAAGGCAGTCTTGTATACTGGTACGAACCGTTATGGGTATTAATCATAGTATATTTCTGGGAATCCTCATTTCATCACAATTGCAGGTATGCATGGTTCAAGTCCAGCTTCGTGAAGGATAGCCCCTCACTGCCAGTTTTGTAGATAAGTCCTCTATGCAAGGGATTGAGTATTTATCCAGCTGTGAAAAACACTTTACCATTTGCTTGAAGTCCCCACAAAGGCAAACCGAACTGTTGGGTCACAATCGGTACAATCGTTGCTGCACATTCCGCAAACTGGGCTGGTTTGATGACTCCTTCGCTTTCCAGACTCCCGATATCTGCCTCTACTTTTGCATGCAAGGTAAATGTCACTGGGCAGGCCTTGCAAAATCAAGGAATTGCTTCTTGGTCAACACGCAAGTTTGCCTTGACTCTTTTGATAGTCCCTAGACCTTCCTGAAAAATCTACGGGTAAGTGCATTTAATTAGGACTACACTCAGGTAGCCATTTCCTAATCGAAAAATATTGAGCCAATCAACGTGAATCTTTCTCAACCAATTTCGCCTCATCAAGCTTGGGTCCGAGCCTTTTGCTACAATGAGTGGTGATTGATCCAGCTGCTTCTCAAAAGACACCCGAACCAAAGTTGCACTCGTAATCTGATGAGGTTCCCCAGTGTAGGTTTTCAGTCTGGCTGAGGTCTTACGCACACTTAAGGGTAGGATTCCAGAGCAAACTTTGGTAAAGCCTGATTCCACAATCATTGATACAGCCACACTGGCATCGGCCTCCATTAGAACTTGGTGACCACTTGACTGGACGTTTATTTTGATTGGTTCTGATCTTGATGTTGCTAAGCAAGTTAACTGTTCCACCAGCTACAAGTGTACCCTCCAGGGTGCGCACTGTCCTGGATACCAGCCTAGAGTTCTCTTACTCAATTCGGGACCAGAGGGACCCTTTTGTTCTCTTGAATCTGCATACAGGCAGTGACTACAATGGCCTGCCAGTCCAGAGCCTCGAGGAAACTTTAACTGTTTGGCAAAGGTTGGCTTTGTTTTGGGGTTTGGTGGGCTGACCTACAGTCCCTCTGTTCAGGGTATGTCTCGAGTGAGGCTATGCAATTACCTTCACTCAAGTTGTGTTCGCCAAGGTCAGTCAGCCTGGTCAGGGTATCCACCTCCATCGGAGTATCCTGTAACTCTAAGTTCCACTTGTCCATTTTCTAATGGCAAGATCAGTTGTAGTGCCCGTTTGAAGTCCAGTTGGGCTTCAGCTAGTAGTTGCTTTGCATGGTCACATCAGTAATCCCACATACCAAACGAAGTCTCAGCATCTCACGTTAGGATGTGTGAAAATACAATGAAGGGATTTGTACAGGAGGATTAGAATTTTAAATTCAATCCATTGGAGATGATGAGAGTCAAATGGAACTGAACAAGGATGAAATGGCAGTTAGGCCTGGCTTAGTATGGAATGGATGTGAACACTGAAGATAAGGTCAGGTCAATAAACAGACTCCGTAAGGAAAATGTTTAGGAGATGTACGAAGGGAGGAGTAAAAGTAACAAGCAAGAATTTGCAGGTAGTGGTCAAAGTAGCAGCTTGTCAATAGTAAGGTGAAGGTGCAAACACACAAACCACATTAGTCTAAACACAATGATGTTTTGCACATCAACACAATGATAACAAATGTCAGAGTTTTCAGAAGCACTCAACAGTCCTTCCTGTGTGATGACTCACCAGATAAATACTGATGAAGCATGAAGTTCCTATGCTCAACCAGCTTTTGAAGAAACCTAAAACAGGTAACAATATCATGCTAAGGCAATTGTGCAGAAGACAGCCAGCTCCTGCACCAAAAACTACGCAATCAATTTCTATAAGGAAATACTTTGCGCTATGTATGACCGTATCATAAAGAACACTTGACTCTACCATCACCAAATCTGCTCTTCTGAAATTCACACATGGGAAGCACTTACTGACAATTACAAGCAAATGGCTTGCTGGATAGAATACTACTCTGAGATATACTCACACGAGATAGGTCTCTTTCTGCCTGTGCTTGAAGATCCTCTGCAGCTATCGTTTGTGGACTTAATGTAGAACCCTCATTTCTTAAGCTTGAAAGTCCACTGACTCTCTAGCAATAAGAAAAGCACTTAGAAAGGATGGAACACCATTTCAGCAACTCAAGGAAAAGTCCCACTTGCTATCCTACTCCAAGATGTTCTACTGGAGAGACAGTTCTGTTCCACAGGATATGCATGACACAAACATCGTCACTTCATACAAGAAAAAAAAGGCATGCAACAACCACTTGATTGATTGATTTATTGTCACGTATACCTAAGTACAGTGAACGGCTTTGTTTGCGAGCAGTACAGGCAGATCATAATAAGCAAGGACATACAGATCATAGGGTGTAAAATGCTTGGACAGAGTGAGGCATACAGGTTAAACCGCAAGGAACACGTGTGAGGCAAAATCAATATTAACAAAATCCGCATTATTTGAAGTTACAAAGTCCATTTATCAGTCTAATAATGGCAGGGAAGAAGCTGTTCCTGAACCTGCTGGTATCTTCTATCCGACGGATGAGGTTGTAGGAGCACATTACCAGAGTGGGTAGATCTTTGATGACACTGGTAGCCTTTCAGCTGCAACGAGAGGTGTAAATTGAGTCAGTGGATGGGAGGCTGGCTTCCGTGATGGTCTGGGCT